GAAGCTTCCAAGAGAAGCCACCCCTGGAGGCCCCCCACTACCAAAACCCACCCACAGAAACCCACTGCACCCAGTGACTTCCGCTTGCCCCAGGATGATCCCAGTTCCCATCAGTGTGATCCAGTCACTCCCAGTTCAGACCAGTTGCCTCCAGCATGCACCCTGTCACTCTCAGTTACCCCCAGTTGCTTCCAGCATGATCTCAGTTGCTCCAAGAATCATAGAATCATAGAATAGATCAGGTTGGAAAAGACCTCCAAGATCATCGAGTCCAACCCCTGATCCAACTCCAGTTACTATATCATGGCACTAAGGGCCACGTCCAATCTTTGGTTAAAAAGCTCCAGGGATGGTGAATCCACCATCTCTCTGGGCAGGTCGTTCCAATGCCTGATTACTCTCTCTGTAAAGAATTTCTTCCTAACATCTAACCTAAATCTCACCTGGCAGAGCTTGAGCCCCTGTCCCCTTGTCCTGTTGTTGGTTGCCTGGGAGAAGAGACCAACCCCCACCTGGCTATAACCTCCCTTCAGGTAGTTGAAGAGAGTGATGAGGTCACCTCTAAACCTTCTCTTCTCCAGACTAAACAACCCCAGCTCCCTCAGCCTCTCCTCATAGGACTTGTGCTCAAGTCCCTTCACCAACCGGGTTGCTCTTCGCTGGACCTGCTCCAGCCCCTCCATGTCCTTCCTGAACTGAGGGGTCCAGAACTGAACACAATACTCAAGGTGCAGTCTCACCAGCGCTGAGTACAGGGGAAGGATCACTGCCCTGCTCCTGCTGCCACACTGTTCTTGATGCAGGTTAGGATGCCATTGGCCTTCTTGGCCACCTGGGCACACTGCTGGCTCATGTTCAGCCTCCTGTCGATCAGCACCCCCAGGTCCCTTTCCACCTGGCTGCTCTCCAGCCACTCTGTCCCCAGTCTGTAGCGCTGCAGGGGTTGTTGTGGCCAAAGTGCAGGACCCAGCACTTGGCCTTGTTGAACTTCATCCCATTGGAATCAGCCCAACTCTCTAGACTGTCCAGGTCCCTCTGCAGAGCCCTCCTGCCTTCCAGCAGGTTGACACTCCCTCCCAACTTGGTGTCATCTGCAAATTTGCTGATGATGGACTCAAACCCCTCATCTAGATCATCGATAAAGATGTTAAACAGGACTGGACCCAGCGCTGATCCCTGGGGACACCACTGGTGACTGGATCCCAACTGGATGCAGCCCCGTTCACCACCACTCTCTGGGCCTGGTCCTCCAGCCAGTTCTTAACCCAGCACAGAGTGCCCTGTCCAAGCCGTGGGCTGCCAGCTTTTCCAGGAGTATATTATGGGAGACGGTGTCAAAGGCTTTGCTGAAGACCAGGAAGACACATCCACAGCCTGCCCCTCATCCACCAGGTGGGTCACCTGATCATAAAAGGAGATCAGGTTGGTCAGACGTGACCTGCCCCTCCTAACCCTGTGCTGGCTGGCTCTGATCCCTTGTCCATCCTGTAGGTGTTGTGTGATTGCACTCAGGATGATCTGCTCTGTAACCTTGCCAGGCACTGAGGTCAGGTTGACAGGCCTGGAGTTTCCCAGGTCTTCCTTCTGGCCCTTTTTGTGGATCAGCGTGACATTCCCCAAGTTCCAATTATCTGAGACTTCCCAGGTGAGCCAGGACTGTTGGTAAATGATGGAGAGCAGGTTGGCCAGCTCTTCTGCCAGCTCCCTCATCGCCCTTGGGTGGATCCCTTTGGGTCCCATAGACTTGTGAGGATCCAAGTGGCTCAGCAGGTCACAAACTGTTTCCTCCTGAATTACAGATGCTATTCAGCATCTTATCTCTGTCTACAAGCTCCAGAAGCTTCTTGACCTCTGACAAGAAGCACCTGCCAGAACTGCAAGAACAGATGCACACCCACCTCTGCCTCGGGGCCTTGGGCAAAGGGCTGGCGAGGGAGAGGCCCAGGAGCCTTGGGGTCTGCCCAGCTTTCCTCCTCCCTGGGGGCTCCCAGTCCTCTCCTGACACCCTGTTGGCCCCAGGTCTTGCTGGTTTCGGGCTCATGGCCCGCCGGCACCATCCCACCAGCCTGACCCCCCTCCCTGCCCTCTCCAGCTGCTCCTCCCTTTGGTGGGAAGGCCCCATCCAAGGAAAACCCCGGTGATCAGCAATGGCACCTGTGGGACAGCTGCAAGGCTCGAGTCTGCCAGGCAAGAGCAGGAGCACAGAGAGCCTGAGGAGCCAGGAGATGCCCTGGCTGGACATCGTGCTGCTGTGGGAAGAGCTGACCCCTCTGCACAGTCTGTGCCGTCCCTGCCAGCCAAGTTCTGCCCGGGCTCTGTGCACGGGGACGGAGCGCTGACAGTTTTCAGCCCCCGCGCTGTTCCACAAAGGCTGGGATGGCACAAGGGCCTTGCCTGGCACCCAGGAGATGGGCAAGGCAAGGCAAGGACGGAGCATCTGAGCCACCAGCACGCTGTCTCAAAGGATGGGATGGCACAGAAGCCCAGAATCCATGAGGTTGGCAGAGACTTCTGAGGTCAACCGGCGTCCAGCCTACGACCCATCCCCAGCATGTCAAGCAGACCACGGCACTGAGTGCCATGTCCAGTCTGTCCTTAAACATCTCCAGGGACGGTGACTCCGCCACCTGCCTGGGCAGCCCATGTCAATACCTAATCCCTGTTTCTGTCCAAAAATTCCTGCTTCTACCCCTGACAAACACCCCCTGACAGGTAGGTCCTCGTGTCCTCTGTATATTTTTGTGTACATCTGGTGTGTGCAATGAGTCAAAGAGGGGATCCCATGAGCAAATAAGGCAGGGTTGTCTGGCATTATATTTCTCATTCCAGGTTTAAATTCACCTTTGCTTGATCCAATAGATGGGTGAGGGGATTCAATTTGAGGTAAGATGGTTACATTTACTTTTGATTCCATATTTTCACAAACCCTGTGGCCAGTTCCCAGGAGAGGTTCCTTTGATTTTCACTTCTAACGGTCTGTTCTGCTAAGCACATGGACAAGGTAAATAACCACACAAACAGAACTAACAAATGATAACCACAGTTACCAGTGAACTGAACCAGAGTCCTAACCTCAGGTTTTCAGTCCCAGCTCTGAATCCTTTTCTCCATTGAACAGTTCCCTGTAAAAGAAAAGAAAAAGGTCTGTCCTGCCCCTTTTAGGGCCAACACTAAAATGTAGGAACAATCCCCCGAGAGCTTATTTTGTGTTCTTTGCCATGAGCATCTTTTGCTTTCCAGGTGTCCTTGTCCAAGGGAGGACCATTGGTAAAGCTCCTACAGAAGGCAGTGTCACTAATACAGGCTGGCCAGGAAGGGGAGAGGGGTTTTGATCACCCTCAGACCTCAGTGCACCCTTTGAACACAGCAAAAGAATCCCTGTAAACACATACAGAGTCAGAGGGTTCAGCTTCCTGGTTAAATACCCTCCAAACTGCTCCTGATTCTCCTGCCTGTGCCCTGCCTTCTCCTAAGGGACTGTTTTGTCTCCTGGATGTCCCTGTAAAGCTACAGCACGATATTTCCAAACTGCCCCTTCCCGCTCAGCTGAGGCATCAGGAAACCCCCCCATCCTGCAATTGCTCTGAGTGTGGGGATGCCCCTTGAACCACAGAAGGGGGAGAATCAGCTGAGCTATTTACAGTCACCTCATCTTGTCAGGGAGGATTTTTGTGAGCTCCTTCTGTTCTCTGAAAGATGGTGCAATAATGTTCAATTTGAGCCTTCCATTTCCCAACAGGAGCTGGCTGGGCCACCCCGTCAGGGGGTGGGGTTCCTGTCAAAACAGGCTTGATGACCTTAAAGGCTCCCCTTCAAATCAGAGACTGCTGAGGGACAATTTTTTCTGCTTCCCAAAAAGCAGTGTTCTCCAGAAATAAGCCCTTTTCCAAGGGAGAATATAGTTTTTGGGCATCTTTGACACTGCATGACTAAAACCCTACAGGCCTGGTGGGGAACAGGATGGTCGTGCCATAGTATGGATGTGCTGGTTTTGGATCATGTTGGAGCTGTGGCTGAAGCCTCACAATGGTGCAGGCCTCATAGAGCCCAAACACCTCATTAAAGAGCTGTCATCATGAAAGCTCTGTCTTCATAACACCCTTACCTTTCATAATGGTGCTCTCCTCATAAAGCCCATAAACCTCATAAGAGGCTCTCATCATTAAGGCCATGTCCTCATAAACCCCATCCATCTCACAATGGGGCAGTCTCAGAAGGTCTCTGTGCTCATAGAACCCATCCACCCCAGAACGGTGCAGCCTTATAAAAGGCACTGTCCTCATAACCCTCACACACCTCATAACGGTGCAGGCCTCATAAGGTCCCTGTCATCATAAGGCCCATAAACATCCTCGTGGGGCTGTCATCATAAAGGAGATGTTCTCATAAATGCCATAAACCTCTTAAAGGCTCTATCCTCATAAAGCCCGTGCACCTCAGAAGGGGCAAACATCATAAAGGCTCTGCCCTCATAAACACCATAAATGTCATAAAAGAGTGTTCTCAGAAAGCTCATAAACCTCATGACAGAGCTCTCATCGTAAAACATCTCTCTGCATAAAGCCCATGCAGGTCATAAAGGTGCTGTCCTCAGAAAGCCCATACACCTCATAAGAGGTTCTCATAAAGGCCATATCCTCATAAACCCCATAAACGTTGTTGCCTAAAAGGCTGCAGAGGGAAAAAGACTCCAGGCAAAACTAGATAGAAGGTCAGACAAGCAGCAGAGGTTTCCATGAGCCTCCAGGCTCCAGGAATACAAACCCACAACCATCCCTTCCAACGCAGGGGTTACAGTTTTTCTAATGATTTCCACCCAATGCCCGTCCCGTCCCCGCCCCGGTTCTGCCCCGCTCTGCCCCAGGAACGCCCGTGGGGAATTGAGTCTGGGGGAGTTTGGAGCTTTGAGCCGCTGCAACTACAACTCCCGGCGTGCCCCGCGCCGCAAAGGGGGCGGGGCGGGGGGGGTCTCTGCTGGCGGTGCGCGCGCACAGCCCCGCGGTGGCTGCCGGGAAAGCGATGGCGGTGACAACGGAATCTGCTCAGCACTGTGAGATCTTGCGGGGGCTGCGGCGGGGCTGGGGATGCGCTCGGGGGCTGCGGGGAGCGCGGCTGTGGGTGGGAAGGCTGGAGGGCTCGGCAGAGTGGAGAGGAGGGGCTCGGGGGTTCCCGAGGAGGTTTTGAGGTCCGTGAGGGGCTGTCGGGGGATCGCGGAGGGGATTTGGTGTCCTGAGGGCGCTCAGAGGGGAGGGTGAAGGTGCCTGAAGGGGTTTAGGAGGTCCCTGAAAGCGCTGGGGGCCTCGGAACCCTCCCGGGGGGGAGCTGTTTAAACGCCATGGCTGCACTGCGCAGGCGCCAGCGGAGTCCCCATGAGCGAACTTCAACTCCCATAAGGCCCCGCGGGGCGCCGCCATTGCCTCTCGTGCCACAGCGCCCCCTGCCGGCTGGGCGGACCGACCGCAGGGAAAGCGGGTCCTGATGCCCCCCCCGAACCCCAGAGACCCCTAAAACTTAGCACACAGAGACCCCACAGGGAGGGGATCCCCAGAAGCCAATCAGTGAGGTTCAAGGGGTCTCCCAGTCCTCAGGGGAGGGGTCCTGGTGGTGCCACCCAAATTCTTTGCAGGGAGATGAAACACATGGTGGTAAGGGGATCCCAGTGACATCCCAGTGGCTCTCAGTATGGCCCAGTAACCCCCCCCCAGTGACCACCCAGTGTTTCCCAGTGACCTCCCACTTTCCCCCAGTATGGCCCAATGATCCTCCAGTGAGGCCCAGTAACTTCCCAGTGTCTCCCTGTGTGTCCTGGTAATCCCCCAGTAATCACCCAGTCCCTCCCAGCGCCCTCCCAGCATCCCTCAATAACGCCCCAGTCCCTCCCAGTGCCCCCTGGTTCCCCCCAGTATGTCCCAGTATGCCCCAGTAATCACCCAGTGCCCCCCAAAGCTTCCCAAGTGTCCCCAATGTGTCCCCAGATGTCACTGAATTTTCTGTGAGTGTGAAGGGGGAATGGGGGAATGGTCTGGGGTCAGAGGGTCCAGAGGGGGCTCCTGGGGGGTGATAGAGGGTTGGAGACATTTGGGATGGGGTTTGGGGACAGTGGAATTGGGGGTGTCAAAGGGAGGGAATTGGGGCCAGGGGGAGGCCCTGAGGACATTGGGGACACCAGGGGGGTCTCGGGACTCACCTGCTTGTGGTGCTGCCCCTCCTCTCCCACCCAGGTGCCCCTGAGCAATGGCCCGGAGGTGAGCCCAGAGCTGGCCCTGAGCTGGCCCTGAGGTGGCCCTGAGAAGAAGTGGAAGGCAGAGGTGGTGCTGAGGCAGGAGAGCCCCGTGCTGGGGAAGAGGCTGATCTGGGAGTGCCCAGCAGGGAGAAGGTGCTGTGTCCATGCCCTGTGTGCCAGGTGAGCTGGGGCTTTGCTGCAGAGCTGCGGGCGCTGATTGGAGCGGCTGCAGCTGCTGAGCTGGTGGCACCCAGGAACACAAAGTGTGCCCGGCCACGGAGCCTGCAGGGAGGAGCAGGGACAGGGTCAGGGCCACTGTCAGCCCGGGGCTGGCTGGGGAGACACAGCAGTTTTGGGGTCCCCCTGGGAGCTGCTGAGGGTAGAGGGCGGAGCGGGCGATGCCGGAGCTGGGGGACCCCCGGCTGGGTGGAGGGGGGAGCACGGAGAGGGAGGAGCCCCGGGACCCCCGGGAGCCTGAAACGGGGGGAGCAGAGAAGGGGAAACCTGGAGAGTGGGGACCCCTGGGATCTCTGGGACAACAAGGTGGAGAACCCGGAGAGGAGGAATGTGTGGGAAGGCGGCACCCCAAAGGTGAGAGTCAGAGGAGAAGGGACTCTTGGGATCCCCAAAACTCCCAGCATCCCTAAGTGGGACCCCCAACATCCCAGACTGGGCAGACCCTCTGAACCCCAGAGGGGAGAGACCAGAGAGGGGGAGCTTGTGGAAGATATTTTTTTGGGGTCATCTTCATAATTTGGAGTATATTTCAGCTGAATCTCAACTTTTTGCAGTTTTCGGGGTCAGGGGTCTTGTTGCTATTTCTGAGGGGTTTTTATCTAAACCTTTATGTTTTGGGGTTTTTGTGGGCTGAATCTTGGAGGTCCCCCAGAACCCTGAAGTTGGGAGATGTGGGAGCCTTGGATTCCTAGGACCTCCAGCAGCCTGGAGACGGCAGGGACCCTGTAGAGGGGAGACCGCAAATACACATGAATAATCCCAGCAACCCGAACAGAGGGGATCTCCAGAATCGCACAGTGGAGAGACCAGAGAGGAGGAGCTGCTGGCTGGGGTTTTCGGGGCTAAATAGTGATGTTTTGGAGGTTTTTATGGTCCCAGGATGCCCGGTGAGTTCTAGAGATGGACTTGGGCAGGAGGAACCCCCAAGGCAACGCGCTCAGCCCCTGTTTTCCCCCCCAGCAGGATTTGTCCTTCCCAAAGCTTGGGTGGATGGAGGAGGAGGCTGCAAGGAAGAGGAAAGGACCACAGACCCCCCAGGCAGGTGAGGAGGAAGTCAGTGCCCCTTTGGCCCTGTCTTGTGGTGCCTGTGGCAGCCGAGCATCACCCCTGGCTGCAGGACAACCCCGCTGGCACCGCCGTCCTGCCGGGGCTGGATCTGGGGAATGTCCTTGACCTTCCCTCTGGGCTGGAGGCAAATCCCCTGCCTGTCCTTCTTCCCTCCTGCCCCAGGCCCCGAGCTGAGGACGGAGAGCACGGAGGACAAATCCCCCCGGCAGAGCCTGGTGGGAGAGGCCGTTTTGAAGGGCTCCCCGACGCAGGAAGGCAGCGGGGAGGAAAAGGCCCGGAGATGCCCCCGGAGGAGGGGCTGCAAAGCCAGCCCAGGGTGCTCTGAGGAGGAAAGACCCGTCCTGTGCCGGGAAGGCGGCCGGAGCTTGAACCGGAGCTCCGAGCTGGTGGTCCCTGAGCAGCCTCCCAGCAGGGAGAAGCCCTTCAGGTGCTTGGAATGTGGGAAGAGCTTCAGGCTGAGCACCAACCTCCTCAAGCACCAGCACATCCACACTGGGGAACGGCCCTACACATGTAGGGAATGTGGGAAGAGCTTCAGGGACAGCTCCAACCTGATCCGACACCAGCTCATCCACACTGGGGAACAACCCTACAAGTGCTTGGAATGTGGGAAGAGCTTCAGCCAGAGCTCCCACCTCGTCAGGCACCAGCACATCCACACTGTAGAATGGCCCTACATGTGTAGGGAATGTGGGAAGAGCTTCAGGGACAACTCCAACCTGCTCCAACACCAGCTCATCCACACTGGGGAACGGCCCTACTGGTGTGGGGAATGTGGGAAGAGGTTTCGGACCAGCTCCAATCTCCTCATGCATGAGCGAACACACACAGGGGAGAGGCCCTTTCGCTGCACTGACTGCGGGAAGGGCTTCAACCGGAAGGACCACCTCATCACTCACTGGCGCATCCACACTGGGGAGAGGCCCTACAAGTGTGGGGAGTGTGGGAAGAGCTTCTCCCACAGCTCTACCTTGACCTATCACCAACAGACCCACCAGTAAGGGAAGCCCTGGAGTGCCCTGACTGCTGTAAGAGCTTTGGCTGCTGCTCCCACCCCAGATGACCCCCCTGATGGTGAGGCAACCCCTGGAGTCCAGTGACTGTCAGTCCATCCCTTTCTACCAGAAAGGACCAGGCCCCTTTGCCAGGGGCAGGTTGTGCCAACAGAACCTTTCTTGGGGGGGGTGTGTGGAGATTCCTGCCTTGGCTGGGGACACCCCAAGGTCACTGCTGGAGTTTGAGAGCAGAGATCTCCCCCCGAGTGTTGGTCTGGGGGAGTTCCATCCCTCTCTAATTCATAATTCTTGCTTTGGTGCCAGCTTGAGTAGAATTGCTTCAACAATTGCTTTAGTGTAGAGCACTGTCCGATGTTATGCTGTCCTACTGGTAGTTTTAGTGGTTCTATTGTGCAGTAAATAATTCTGATGAAGATCTTTTGTCTGATCATTTGTAACCCTAAATAATTGATTTCTATCAATAGATCTGATTTGTCATCATTAAAGCCCTGAGGAACAAAAGTGGTTCAGTCCCACCTCTGTAATTCCTCTAAACTGAAAGTGTTGGCATAACCCAAGGCTGAGATTGGATCCAGCAGCCTCCAGCACCCCACAGCAAGTTGGGAGCTCAGGGAGGCCACCCCACTTTCCCAGCACTTTTGGGCCCAAAGACCCCCATGGGATCGTTGGACCTGGCAGACCACCCCTTCTTTTCCACCCTTCTCCCTGTTCCTCCCACTTTCCCATTGTCCCCTGTTACAATCTGCTTAAATGTTGCAGAAAGAACTTCAGATTCGAATATGCCCTTGATCAAAATTAAAACTCCCTTAAGTTATCTGTTGATACCAAAACCTGATGTTATTAATTGCTAAGAGATGCATCCCACAGTAAGCTGGGAGCTCAGGGGGGCCACCCCCCATTCCCACCCTCCCTATGTCCAAAGACCCCCATGGGACCGTCGTACCCACCACAGCACTCCCCCTTTTCCACCCTTCTTCCTGTTACTCCCACCATCACATTGTCCCCTCAATCCCCAATTTCCCTCCCAAACAGTTTTGGGGTCCCAAGCCCCACTTTTTGGCCCCTCTCCTTGGGTGCTGAAGGAGAAAATGAGGTCACACACACAGAGTTCCATTTCGGGATTTGTCCAATGACACTTTTCGGTGTCCCCTTTCATTCCCATTCCCTCGGGAGCAGCACCCACTGTTTGTCTTTCAGTGCAGCGGAATTCCCAGGATGGCCCCAAAGCAGTGCCCTGATCCCACACATTGCCCTCCCCTCCTGCAGGGGCTGTTCAGCCACCAGAGAAAAACACAGGCTGGTCCTGCAGGCTGGTTCCAGTGCACTTGCACTCGGAGAAACAACCTTGTCTCTCTCCAAGCACTCAGCCAAGGTGGCTCCTCCCTTTGCACCCCCATTCCCTCAGTGCAGGTGCAGAGTGACTCCCCCTGGTCCCACCTCTGCCCTACTTTGTTTGCACATGCAGAGTTCATGGTCAGGAGGGTCAGGATGTGATACATGGAGGGTAGATATGTTTTCATCTGTGATACAACTTTAGCAACAAGGATTACTGACAGGGATGGTCAAGGCGTTGTCAGTCACAACAATCCCAACGTCAGGTGCGACCAAGAAGGCCCCTGAGTGACAGGTCCAGCCATGGCTGAGCTGTGAGGCCGGTCAGTCAGTCAGCAGACACAGGGAATTACCTCTAGAACAGCATCTGCCCCAGGTGCCATCCGGGCAGGGCTTGCTCTGCTCAGCATTCCCTGACTCCTCCCGGCATTCCTGAGGGAGCCTCTGCATCTGCACAGTGGGATTGCGGGCCAGGCCCACTCAGGACAAGGGGCCATCCGAGGGGCTGGAAGCCAGCAGGGTCCTGGGGGAGACAGAACACAAGCAGAGTCCTCCCCATGCTGAGCACTCGAGAGGGCCTTGTCATCAGGTGTCTGCTGGGAGGGTTTTTGTTTAATACTTGTCAATTCAAATTCAAAAAAACTAAGGGTAAACACAGCTTTGTCTACTTGGGGTGTCACATTCCCCCTTTTTTGTTTTGAAAGTGTTGGTTTTGATGCAGAGCACACATTTCTTGCATGTGGGGTAGGCACAAGTGATAGGACCACATTTATGGTTTATTCTGTTGGGGTTTTTTTTTCTCTTTTTTATTCCTTTTTCTTTCATTTTTATTTCTTTTTTCCTCTTTTTACTTTTTCTTCTCTTTTTCCTTTTTCTCTTTTTTTCTTTTTTCCTTTTCTCTTTTTCTTCTTTTTCTCTTTTTCTCTTTCTCTTTTTCTTTTTCCCATTTTTCTTTTTTCTTTTTTCCTTTTTTCTCTTTTTTCCTTTTTTTCTTTTTTCCCCATTTTTCTTTTTTCCCCATTTTTCTTTTTTCTCTTTTTTTCTTTTTTCTTTTTCCTTTCTTTTTTCTGGTTTTTTTTTTCCTTTTTCTTTCTTTTTTTCTTTTTTTCTTTTTTCCTTTTCTCTTTTTCCTTTTCTTTCCTTTTTCTCTTTTTCTTCTCTTTTTCCTTTTTCTCTTTTTTTCTTTTTCTTCTTTTTTCTTTTTCTTTTTCTTTTCTTTTTTTCTGTTTTTCTTCTCTTTTTCCTTTTTCTTTCTTTTTCTTTTTTCTTTTTTTCCTTTTTTCTGTTTTCCTTTTCTTTTTTTTCTGTTTTTTCTTCTCTTTTTCCATTTTTCTTTCTTTTTTTGTTTTCTGTTTTCTTTTTTCTTTTTTCCTTTTTTTCTATTTTCCTTTTCCTTTCTTTTTTTTTCTAGTTTTTTTTCTTTCTTTTTTTTTGTTTTCCTTTCTCTTTTTTCTGTTTTTTTCTTCCTTTTTCTTCTGTTTTCCTTTTCCTTTCTTTTTTTTCTGGTTTTTTTCTCTTTTTTCCTGTTTTCTTTTTTCTTTTCCTTTCTTTTTCCTTTTTCTCTTTTTCCTTTTTCTCTTTTTCCTTTTCTTTCTTTTTTTCCTTTTTCTCTTTTTCTCTTTTTCTCTTTTTCTTTTTCTTTTTCCTTTTTCTTTCTTTTTTCTCTTTTTCTTTTTCTTTCTTTCTTTTTCTCTTTTTCTTTTTTCCTTTTCTTTCTTTTTCTCTTTTTCTTTTCTTTTTCTTTTCTTTTCCTTTTTCTCTCTTTTTCCTTTTCTTTTTTTCTCTTTTTCTCTTTCTTTCTTTTTCCTTTTTTCTTCTTTTTCCTTTTTCTTTCTTTTTCTTTTTCTTTTCTTTTTCCTTTTTCTCTTTTCCTTTTCTTTTTTCCTTTTCTCTTCTCTTTTTCCATTTTCTTTCTTTTTTTCTTTTTCTTTTTCTTTTTTCCTTTTTTTCTCTTTTTCCTTTTTTTCCGTTTTTCTTCTCTTTTTCCATTTTCTTTCTTTTTCTCTTTTTCTGTTTTCTTTTTTCCTTTTTCTTTTCTTTTCCTTTTTCTTTCTTTTTCTTCTCTTTTTCCTTTTTCTTTCTTTTTTTCTTTTCTGTTTTCCTTTTTCTCTTTTTCTCTTTTTCTTTCTCTTTTTCCTTTTCTCTTTTTCCTTTTTCTTTTTCTTCTCTTTTTCCTTTTTCTTTCTTTTTTCTCTTTTTTTCTCTTTTCTCTTTTTTCCTTTTTTTCTCTTTTCCTTTTTCTCTTTTTCCTTTTCTCTTTTTCCATTTTTTCTTTTCCTTTTTTCTCTTTTTCTTCTTTTTCTTTTTCCCTTTTTCTCTTTTTCCTTTTCTTTTTCTCTTCTCTTTTTCCTTTTTTCTTTTTCTCTTTTTTCTTTCTTTTTTTTCTGTTTTCTTTTTTTCCTTTTTCTCTTTTCCTTTTCTTTTTCTTTTTTCTCTTTTTCCATTTTCTTTCTTTTTTCTCTTTTGTTTTCTTTTTCTCTTTTTCCCTTTTTTCTCTTTTCCTTTTCTCTGTTTTTTTCTCTTTTTCCATTTTTCTTTCTTTTTTTCTCTTTTGTTTTCTGTTTTCTTTTTTCCCTTTTTTCTCTTTTCCTTTTTTTTCCCCTTTTTTCTTCTCTTTTTCCATTTTTCTTTCTTTTTTCTTTTTTGTTTTCTGTTTTCTTTTTCCCTTTTTTTCTCTTTTCCTTTTCTTCTGTTTCCCCTTTTTTTCTTCTCTTTTTCCATTTTTCTTTCTTTTTTTCTTTTGTGTTTTCTTTTTTCTTTTTTCCTTTTTTCTCTTTTCCTTTTCTTTTTTTTTCTTCTCTTTTTCCATTTTTCTTTCTTTTTGTCTTTTTTGTTTTCTTTTTTCTTTTTTCCTTTTTTTTCTGTTTTCCTTTGGTTTTTTTTCACTCTTTTTCCTTTTTTCTCTTTTTTCTTCTATTTTTTTTCTCTTTTTTCGTTTTTCCCTCTCTTTTTTTCCTTTATTTCCCTTTTTCCTTTTTTATCTTTTTCCATTTTTCAGTTTTTTCCACTCTCTTTTCTTTCTTTTTTTTCCTTTTTCTTATTTTTTCCTTTTTGTCTTCTTTTTTTTTATTGTTATCTTTTTTTCCTGTTTTTTTCGGGTTTTTTTTGTTGGTTTTTTCTTTCTTTTTTCTGGTTTTTTTTCATTCTTCTTACTTTTTTTCCCTCTTCTATCTTTTTTCTTATTTTTCCTTTTTTTTTGTTATTTTCCTTTTTTTCTATTTTTACTTTGTTCTCTTTTTCCTTCTCTTTTCTTTTTTCTATTTTTTAATTTTCCTTTTCCTTTTTTTCTATTTTTCTTTTTTCTCTTTTTTCTTTTTAATTTTCCTTTTCCTTTTTTCTATTTTTCTTTTTTCTCCTTTTTTCTTTTTCTTTTTTTTCTTTTTTCCTTTTTTTTGTAATTTTCCTTTTTTTTTCTATTTTTCTTTTTTCTCTTTTTTCTTTCTTTTTTTCATTTTTTTGATTTTTTTCCTTTTTCTTTTTTGTCTTTTTTCCTTTTTCTTATTTTTTTCCCCTTTTTTTGCTTTTTTCTTTTTTTTGTAATTTTCCTTTTCTTTTTTTCTATTGTTTATTTTTTCTCCTTTTTCTTTTTTCCTTTTTTTTTTCCTTTCTTTCCGTTTTTTGTTATTTTCCTTTTCCTTTTTTTCTATTTCTTCTTTTTTCTTTTTTTTTTTCCTTTTTTCTTTCTTTTTTTTCTGTTTTTTTCTCTTTTTTTTCAATTTTTTTCATTTTTTCTTTTTTCCCCTTTTTTCTCTTTTTTTTTCTTTGTTTTTTTAACATTGTTTTCTATCAATTGTATTTTCAAGGAAGATTTATACACATCTCAAAACAATCTCCACGTCCATGTCTTACCACAGCAGATAATCTGGCACTGTTGGTGCAGGTTCCTGAGGATTCCCAGGATCACAAACACTGACACTCCAAGGGTGCAAGTGAAGCAACTTTCTTCCGTCCCTTGGGATAACGTTCCATGCCCAGCGAGCCCTGGATTTCTGCAGAGCCGCTGGGCAGGAGCAGCAGATGGAGCAGCTGCTCCAGCCAAGGGCAAACCCCCCACCCCCCGCTGTGGTTACAGACAGTGCCAGCACATCCTCGTACCCCAGAAATCACGGGAACGCTCTGGGATAACAGGTTTGGGAACAGGGAGTGTTGAGCAGAAGAAGATCCCGGCA